CCCAAACTCTATAAATACTTATTCATTTGTTCATTCATCTACACAAAATCAATTGCTTCCTCATATAGTTTTCATATTCTTCTTTCTCCCTCAATTTTTTTTGAAGATGTCTTTAGGACAAAATGCAAGAGGTCCAAATGGGAAGAAAAAGAAGATGAAGCTTTATGTGAGGCTTGAGTTGCAATTTCTGAGGGTGGTGCTATGAACAACAATCAACCTCTAGTCTGCAATACTCATCAGTTGAATCAGCAAGGCACCAAGTGGCAGCATCCAGAAGACGGTGGTAAGCCTCTGCTATGGTGAGAAACCTTGGTGTCCGATTACATCCTTCTTTTGGGCAAAGTACTTGCCATGAATACCAACATCATTCAAGACAAAAGAGTTATTGCGTCATTCGGAAACGCATATGGAAATAGGTGGTATTGAAAATTGAGTTGATGTAGAAGTAGTCCTTCATGAGTTCTCCATGCTTATTTTCTCTATCATGATTGACTACTTGATGACTAGTGATCGAATTAACTACAATATATCAGTATGTTAGCTTGATCATCCAACATTGAAGTTGTTGTAGCAATGACATGCCTAACCTCTTGTTGATGCCTTTCCTCATCACAATCGTCCTCCAACAACATTTTCATCGCCAAACTACGTCTCGAAGTCATTGAAATAAGAAAGTGTGTCACTTTGAATAGATATGAAAGGTGTTTGGGTTAATATTTAACTTTGGACTTCAAGGGAAGAAAGCCCAAAAGAGCTTAATAAAGGAGATTTTGCCCGAGGCCCAGAGTCAAGCCCAGATACCCATCTCGAGACAATATGGCGACTCCCCATTTAATGTAAAGGTTAGGTGCTTACAAGAGAAGTGACAACCGATGGAAATCCACCTACTCTCGGCCTAAAAGCACTTTCTGAATGGCAAAACATGTAAAAATGCTGATGACTCACTACCCTTCAGTTGTTTTCGGGTAAGAGCAGAAACAGTACAGTCGGGTTAATTCGTCTATAAAAAGAGGAAGAAGGCCCATAGACAAGGACACTCAACCAATCAAATAAACAAATATAGAACTTGCCTATTAGCCAAGCAAATACCCAGAAAGTTGTGCTTTGTCTAGATTTTGTACCCTTTTAGCCTTAGACTCCCCTTAAAAAGCTATCTTTTGTGTAATGTAAAAGCTCTGCTACCTTTTCTAAATGTTGTAGTATCGATTCTCTTGTGGAAACTTGTTCACAACTCATCCTGCTTTATTACTCAACCCCCTGTAACTATAAAGAGAAGAGACCACAAGACGTTTAAACCTTACCCGACAAGGTGAAATCTTGCCCAACTCTCTTTGTTTTGTCTTTAAGTTAATAGATTTGGTGTTATGATATATTCCCCAGTATATATTCAAGTCATTTCCAGTCTTTTGATGAACCAAAGTTCCATTAGTTCTCAGATATGGTTCACTTAATGGTTTACTATCATAAGAAGACTAAATGTGAATTAAACTGATGAGTTGATCTGGACCTCCACCCTTTAAGCATACAAGTTAACCAACTAAAAGTCCTTGATCTCAAGGTATAGAAAAGAACTTAATGTAGACTTAACCCATCTACGACAATCCTTTGATAACAAGAAGTCATAATAACTTGTGGCGCAAGTAATTGGCTTAAATACACTTGTTCGACATCTGCCAAACTGAGATGGTAGTGGCACGCCTAAGCACTTAGTTAGTTTTGATTGTGAGCCTCAAGGCCTACACCTAAGGCCCCACAAAGGCACCTTTCAGAACTAACTTTGTCCTCCTCTTTCAGCATCTCAACAAGTAGGAGCCCGACAACCAACCAAAGTGCCAACGCCTTGGGGAGCTGTGTGCTCGAGCCAGGGACCCTCCTAGCGAGATTTCCTGCCCGAACAAAAGGTGATATGTGTTCAAATTCCCTTTATATAGAGAATGGAGGAGTGAAAATTTATTGTTGTTTGGTTATTGTTTAGGATAGTTTGACCGGTGGATATTGAAGTTTGGTTGGTTGAGTGGTGTGATTTGTTTGGCTTTCAAAATTTTGGTAGAATTTAAAATAATTTTAGGTTAAGGAATTTGTAAAATTAAATAAAGATTACATAACTCAAAGTTAAAAAGAAAAATTCTTACCAAAAAAATTAGGGTTAAAATCATTCCGCAACAAGTAATACATTTTATGTCTTCAAGATTAAGTCTGGAGGGTTGGGTCACATTCATTGTTCATAGAGCTAAATTATGTCTTTAGTGGACTAAATATTTGGTTTTGAGCAAGGTTCTAAAAAACACTAGGTGCTAGTTGGGCGGTGGGTTAGGGCATAGCCCCTATGTGGACTAGGCGAATTTAATTAAACTTATTATATAACATATAAATAAGTGCTTACTTACACTCTAAAAAATAAAAATATACTTTTATTGAGAATTTAGGAAAGTTAAAGCTTAAAACTTAAGCCATATTGCCATCATCACTGACAAATGCAACAAAAAATAAGAAAAACAAAAAATCAAATTTGAAAATTCACTAAGTAAGTAGGTTATTCAGAAAAACCTTTAACTTAATTAAAAAAAGTTACAAACAATGGAACCGCCTAGCCTTCACCTAACTCTCGCCTAGCCAGCCTAGCCACCGCCTAGCCTGCCTAACCAGCCTAGCTCGCCTAGGTAGCCACCTAGCCCCTACCTGATTTTCTCCAAATTTCGTCCTAAATTGCATCGGTCCTTCATCGCCTAGGTCAATTTTTAGAACCTTGGTTTTGAGTGCAACGGTTAAACCAACTCCATTGCAAAGACTCAAACCCAAATATATGTGTTTAAACCCAAACAAATGCCACCTAAACTAAAAAATATTGGGTTGGTCCCAAATCAAAACCTAAATTTGGTTTCAGATTTAGCTAACCCAATAATCTTGATGAAGCCCATTTTTTTTTTTTTAAATGCAGTTGAAGGTTTGGAGTTAGTGGCAGACAATTGGGCCCCACGTTGTAGGGACCCTAGTTGTCCAACAGTCATTGTCGGTTTGAATTTGGGCCTTCCAATTTTTGGACTGTTAGTTATCAACGATCCAAATAAAACTCATTTTTTCTTTTTTCTTGGACAATCCTTTGAATTGATCTAACGGTCCCATATTTATTTTTGTCAAATCCAACGGTAAAATAAAGATCCAACGACTGAAATATAAATCCAGTGGTCAAAATAATAAAATACATATTTGGAGTGTGTATTGAAATTTGGTGCGTTGATGTGTATATTGAAGTTTGGTTGGGTAAGTGGTTGGTTTGTGTGATTTGTTCGATTTTGAAAATTTTGTCTGAATTAATTTTTTTGTTGTTGCTAAAACATGCGTAAAATTAATTAAGATAACATAACTCAAAGTTACAAAAAAATCCCACCAAAAATAAATTATAGTTAAAATCATTCTACAACAATTAATATTTTTTAAGTTCTGAAATTCGGTCTGTAAGGTTAAGTCTTTTTTTTTTTTTAAGTAAACCTAAATATTGAGCTTGGGTCCAAAAATTCGAGTTGGCTTTAAGGTTAGTACAAGTCCTTGTTTGGCAACTCGGATTGTATTGACTATTTCAGTCAGATAGGATAATTAGTCATCAAATAGTACTGACTAAATTAGTTAGGCGTTTAGTGCTATACCGGATTAAAATATTAACTAGTTAGTGCTATGTTTGATATTTTGCCGATCACCATACTGTAATTATAAAACTAATTTGAGATAGAAATTTGGGTGCCTCAACTTTGATTAATTTCACCCAAAACAAAAACTTTGTCATGATTGCCTAAACCTTTTGCTTCTCACACAGAAAAGCCAAAAATTCTCCATCTTCCTCTCAACACCTTTTCTTTTCACCAAGCCAAATCCAAACCAACCTCATCAACCTCCACTCATATACAACCAAAAATTACAATTGCTCAATCTTTACCAAGATTTGAAACTCAAAACTCAAAGTAGATCTGAAAGAGGAAATCCTTCTAGCCATATCTCTTGCCGGATCGTTGCTGTTGGTTCATAAGAACATCATGGATGGCAGATGAGAAAGAACATAGTTAGACAGATGAGTAGGAATGTGTTTGATTCATAGCCGACGTCGATGTGTGAGGACGTTTAAGAGAGTAGATCTCGGGATGGGAGAAGTCGGGGTTAGGCTGATGGTGAGGGAAAGGATGGTGCTCTCGTCGTCACTTGCCAGGTAGGGTGGGTAGCTGAGCATTCGCATTTTGATGTGTAGGAGACGGAGTGGAGAAGGAAATAGAGAGAATGAGAGACAGGGAGGAAGCTAGAGAGAGCGTATTGTTGGCCCGACTAATTATACTAGTACTATTTAGTACATAATCACACCAAACACCCGAGGACCGTATTATTTATCCTATCCGATTCCTTATACGGGCAACCAAACGAGGAGTAGTATAAGGAGTAGATATGTACAGCCGGTGAGACAAGTTTTACACATGACACACCTCTTCTGATTTGTACACACGGTGAGCCAAGTTTAGCACATGAAGCACCTTTATGGTATGATATGATTTGCTACCTACCCAGCAGCAACAGTAAAGAGTCATGGGATTCACGAGGAGAGGAACAACCCATACAATAATTAGCAGAGCCCATTTGTCCAAAACAAGGACAATGAAACAATACGACACTCGAATCATGTAGTGCCACGTATCTATTAAACTACAAAAGAGTAAGAGTGTTCAAATCTCCCTCTTCTTATGCTGTTAAAAAAGAAATAGTAGAAATGATTATGTTTTTGATATTTAAGAGTAGAAATAATCAGTATTTATTATGTCATTGTTATGTTATTATTTATCATCATTGAGTTATCAATATGTAATTAATATATTGTGGTTATTAAAATTTAATCATTTCCGCAACTAAATCACCAACACGAGTCGTTCCTCTTAATTGCAGTTTAAACAAGCAATCTCTCTTTAAAGAAGCGACGTGGACCGCCCAACCACTATCCATTCTGAGACAGACTACCTGCACACATTTCAAAACATTGATTGACGGTGAATCTCTCTCTCTCTCTCTTTCTCTCTCTCTCTCTCATCAACCTTGACGGACCAGGCATTTGGAAGAGGAAGAAGTCTCTCTCTCTCTCTCTCTCTCTCTCTCATCGGCCTTGACGGACCAGGCATTTGGAAGAGGAAGGAGGAGCAGCAAAAGCAGCTGCACATTTGGCCCAACAGAACAATGCAATCTCATCACATTACGGTAACACTAACTTGGATCCTCCACTCATTTTTCATCTCCCAACTTCTTTTAACTAGAAAGTTAAAAAGTACAGCACCAGAATCTTCCTCCTTTACTTTTGAGTTGTTTTACTCAGCTGCCAAAAGGGAGGAGGTTTACTGACTGACTATGTTTAACTTAACAAAAAGTTTCCTGAATTTTCTTAGTTAACATCCTATCAGATATAGAGATCGAATGGAAAATGAAGATATATAGGAATCGCATTTTGTGTTGTTATTGACGGTTGAGACTATGAATTCCAAGTCAGGGAAAAAAATGAGCTTGCATGTGCTTATAAGTAGTTGGTTTTATGATGGATCTCACTGACAGTCTTCTGTTTCGGTTGAATTTTGATCAGCTTGATTCTTCTTCTTCTGCTGCTGGTTCTGATGGACTGGAAGTGAAATGTAACGGGATGAGGGCGAGGAACTCGACCTTACTTTGTGTTCCGATAATGGCTGAGACTGTCGATCAGATGGTGATCGATATGGGCGAGGCAAAAGTCGTTGGTGCTGACCTTGTGGAGATTCGATTGGATTGTTTGAAGGTTTTCGATCACAATCAAGATCTCAAGCGTCTAGTGAAAGAGTGCCCTTTGCCGACACTTTTCAGTTATAGGTGAGACATTTCCTGCCTTTTACAACATTTTCCATAAGAGTTGGACTACTTGAATCGAATAATTGAGGAATGTCACTAGTGTTGGGCTACTCTCCAATATTGCCAATCGGTTTTATGGTGAAACCTCAACTTTCTTCGACTAGTTTTGCAAAGATTCTTTTCAGCAGTATACTCTGTTTCGATCTTAATTAATTTCTTAAAAGCTTGCTTTGTGATCTCCCCTAAGAATCTCCCAGTTGTCTGGTACTATCAGCTGACAGTTATGAACTTTTGTAGGCCAATATGGGAAGGTGGCCAGTATGATGGTGATGAAAAAACTCGACTGGATGCACTTCGATTAGCGATAGAGCTCGGAGCTGATTACATTGATGTCGAGCTTCAGGTTGCTCTCTTACAAATGTACACTTTTAAGTCATTTATGTTATTTGCCACGGTTGGATCATCATAAGTTTAACGTGATGGCATTACGGAAATTCTAATGGACCCATTTTCCATTTGATACTTTTCTGTTTTTTCGTTTATTGGGATGAATTGTACTTTTAAAATGCATGTGAAAAACACTTAACAGATTTAAACTAGGTGAACACTGGTAAAAACCATCAAAACAACAATAATAAAGTCTTATTTCACTAAGTGAGGTCGGCTATATGAATTTTAGAACACCATTGCGCTCGGTTTTGCGTCAAGTCTTCTAGCTCCAAGTACTCCATGTATTTTCTTAAAGTCTCTTTCCAAAGTCTTCCTAGGTCTTCCTATTTCCCTTTTGCCCTAAGCTCTATCTCATAATCTCATTTTCTAACCGGAGCATTTGTAGGTCTTCGGTTCACATCCAAACCACCTTAACCAATTTTCTCTCATCTTATTTTCAATTGCCGCCACTCCTACTTTACCTCGAATATCCTCAGTTCTTTTTCCTATCATTTCTCATGTGCCCACACATCCAACTGACGCATTCTCATGTTCGCTACACTCATCTTTTGTACGTGGTGATGCTTGACCTGCCCAACATTATGTGCCATAAAGTATTGCTTGGCCTTATTGTCGTCTGATAAAATTTTCTCTTGAGCTTTAGTGACATGCGACGATCACACAACACATCTGATGCACTTTTCCATTTCACATATCTAGCTTGTATTATAGGGTTGAGATCTCCATCCAATTCTCTGTTCTTTTGCAAGATAGATCAAAAATAGCGAAAACGTTCACTCTTTGGTATTTCCTGATCTCTAATGTTCACCTTTATCTTATTTGGACCCCCATTCCCACTGAACATGCACTCCATGTACTCTGTCTTTGACCTACTTAGGCGAAGACCTTTAGATTCCATGTACTTTGTCTTTGACCTACTTAGGCAAAGACCTTTAAATTTGAACACCTCCTGCTAAAGCTTAAGCTTCGCATTTACTCCCTCATGCGTTTCATCTATCAATACTATATCATCTGCGGAAAGTATGTATGGAGGGATATCATCTAGAATGTGTCCCGTTAACTCATCCATTACCAATGCAAAAAGATAAGGACTTAAAGCTAAGCAACGGTGTAACCCTATGGTTATGGAAAAACTTTCAGTTTGTCCTTTATGAGTTCTTACTGCAATTCTTGCTTCACCGTACATGCAATTCGTACTCCTTTCTTCACTAGAATCCTCCAAAGAATTTCTCTTGGGACTTTGTCCTACGTTATTTCCCAAGTCTATAAAGATCATGTGCAAATCCTTTTGCATATCTCTATATCGTTCCCTTGATCTTCGTAAGAGATAGATTATCTCCATAGTTGAGCGACCAAGCATGAACCTGAATTGATTGTTTGAGACTGGGTCTCTTGCCTCAATTTATGCTCAATTATTCTTTCCCAAAGCTTATTATATGACTCATTAACTTAATACCCCTATAGTTTATGAAATTTTGTATGTCGCCCCTATTCTTGTAGATAGGCACGAGATTGATTTTTTGCCACTCATTTGGCATCTTCTTCATTTCAAAATCTTATTGAAAAGGTTTGTGAACCATGCTATACCTGTCTCTTCCAAGACCTTTCACACTCAGTAAGTATATTGTTGGGACCCACTGCTTTTCTATGCCTTGTCTTTTTTTAGAGTTACAACCACTTCCTCTTTCCTGATTTGGCAGCAAAAAGTAATTTCTACACTCTTCCAAGTTACTCAACTCACCCAAAGAAGTATTCCTTTCGTGCTCGTCATTGAATAGATTATGAAAATAAGCTCTCCATCTGTCTTTAACCGTGTTCTCCGTAGCTAGAACATTTCCATTCTCATCCTTCAGTACACCCTACTGGGTTCAAGTCTCTTGTCTTCCTTTCCCTTGCTCTAGCCGTTTATAGATATCCAACTCCCCTTCTTTGGTATCTAATCGCTTATACATATTGTCAAAAGTAGCTAGCTTCGCTTCTCTTAGGGCTTTATTCGTCTCTTTCTTCGCTATCTTATGCCTCTGACACTTTTCATCAGTTGTATCCTTGTATAAGGCTTTACAACATTCCTTCTTTGCCGAAATTTTTTCATGTACCTTCTCCTTCACCACCAAAATTACTTTTGATGTGGAGCAAATTCTTTGGACACTTCAAGGTCTTGTTCTTTCTTCTATGTATTTTGATATGTGCATCCATCACCAACATGCGATGTTGGTTAGCTAGGCTCTCTCCCGGTCTAACTTTACAATTCTTACAAGTTATACAATCATCAAAGAGATTAAGTATTTATTGTTCGTATCTCATGGCTGAAAAAGAGGCTTACTGCAAGTGTTTTGTTCTTGAAAACAACTGATGTCGTTTTTGTGCACACTGCTAGTTATAACTCAGCTGGTTCTTTGAAATAATATTGATGAAGAAGGGCTGCACATTCACCTCCACCTAAAATGTAGATAAGCTACTCTTATCAGTACCATCATCACAAACATACTAGGAAATGTGCTTCTTTGCATTTCCAATTTAAAATTTTGATAAAGATTACCTATTACTAATCTAATCACTTCTTTTTGAAGGTTGCTCGTGAATTCATCGACTCTATAAATGGAAAGAAGCCAGAAACTTTAAAAGTCATTGTTTCTTCTCACAACTTTCAAGATACCCCATCTGTGGAGGCTCTTGGCAATCTTGTAGCAAGAATACAAGCTAGTGGAGCTGACATAGTGAAGATTGCAACCGCTTCCCTGGATATAACAGATGTAGCACGCACTTTTCAAATAACCGTTCATTCTCAAGTAAGGATTGTGTGTATGTGTGTGCGTATATAATTATTCGTTTATGTAGATCAAGGAGACTGCAGATTCTTGAGAACTTGCCTAGTTTTGTGTTATGAATTTTCTGTACTGAGTAGATACTTGATATCAGCGTGTTTAGAGATAAATTCCCTGTTTCTGTGTTCCTTTAGCTTAAATAATTAAGGTATCTGTTTCTTATCCAAATGAAAATTTACTCCTTCCTGGGATTTCAGGCTCCGTTTATAGGACTTGTACTGGGCGAGAGGGGTTTGATTTCACGGATACTTTCTGCAAAATTTGGTGGTTATCTTACTTATGGTACGTTGGAGTCTCGAATAGTTTCTGCTCCTACTCAACCTACAGTCAAGGATCTATTACATTTATACAATTTCAGACAGATAGGGCCCGACACAAAAGTGTTTGGCGTCATCAGCAAGCCTGTCAGTCACAGCAAATCACCAAAGTTGTACAATGAAGTATTCAACTCAGTCGGTTTCAACGGTGTTTATGCACATTTGTTGGTAGATGATATTGCAAAATTTTTCCAGACATACTCATGCATGGATTTTGCTGGATTCAGGTTCAATTTTATGTTGAGTGTTTTAGTGTCTAATTAGTAGAATATCCATATACATTTTGTTGTCGGACATTTTCCTTCAATATCACAGCTTCTTATCTTCAATTCTGACGCAGCGTTGGTATTCCTCACAAGGAAGCTGCAGTTAAGTGCTGTGATGAGGTTGATCCAGTTGCAAAGGTAATCATCATACTAAGATGCTGGCAGTTTATTTTGGAGGAGTTGGCTGACCTCTTTTCAATTGCGTATATATCAACTTTCTTCTCGACTTGTACTGCTTGTACTTGATTGAATTGAATCTCTTGATCGAAAATATTCAGTCAATCGGAGCTATTAACTGCATTATAAGGAGACCAACTGACGGGAAGCTATATGGATTCAATACGGACTATGTTGGTGCTATTTCTGCTATTGAGGAAGGACTGAAAGGTTAGGTTTCCTCTATATTTTGTAGCAGCTAGCTCTACTCTCTCTTCCATGTTTGTGATTGTAACAACCTTTCCGTAGGTTTACACATATCTCTTTTTACAGGTTCGCCTAATGCTGGCAGTGTAACTGGTTCCCCTTTAGCCGGTAGGCTGTTTGTTGTCATCGGTGCTGGTGGTGCAAGCAAGGCACTTGCTTATGGTGCAAAGCAGAAGGGAGCAAGGATTCTAATTGCCAATCGCACATATGGTTTACTTCTGTCTTTGTTTTTATCTTCCATAAACTATTTGTTTCGTGTTCTCTTCTGTGCTTGCTTTCAGACCATTTCATTCACTGGCATATTCATGTATTCTTCCTCTTTGATGGTTTGCACACACTATTGCTCTACAATCTACATTCGTAAGCCTCTAAATAATTATTCGTCACTTAGGTTATAAATGTATTATAGAAAGAAACGTTGAGATTAATTATTCGTTCTTGATATATATCGATTTATTTATATATTTACTTTGCTCATGAAGATCGAGCCAGAGAACTTGCAGACACCGTCGGTGGTGACGCGGTATCTCTTGCTGATCTAGGCAATATCCCTCCAGAGGATGGCATGATTCTTGCAAACACAACATCGATTGGAATGCAACCGAACGTTGGCGACACACCCCTTTCCAAGGTTTGTGCTACTCACATTTCTGTTGCTGCATTACCTATACGATCATTAAATGTTTGTACATGTGATCTTATCTTGGGGATCTTTTAACTGGAATACTGTGCGGCCGAGTACTGTCATGTTAGAAGAAGAGCCGTACACAAGTTTTTCTTAAAACGATCATCGACGGACACTAGAAATCATGATTCGAGTGGACTACCGTTTCTATTTTTGCAGCATGCTCTGAAATATTATTCATTGGTTTTCGATGCCATCTACACCCCAAAAATGACGAGACTGTTGAGGGAAGCAGAAGAATGTGGTGTCACAATTGTGAGTGGGTTGGAGATGTTCATTGGACAGGCATATGAACAGTTTGAGAAGTTCACTGGATTGCCAGGTAACAATAATTTATATTGAAGGAAAATTTAAAATTCTACCAACAACATGATATCTATTTAATTGACTCTTACTATAAAAAAAAAAAAAAATGTCAATTGCAGCTCCAAAGAAACTATTTAGAAAAGTCATGGAAAATCACTCGTGAGGTTAGTTGTGTTAATTATTTTTTCTCGTTTTACCGTTTTCATGTAAATGGTTCTGAATTTTATGCTTTTCTACATTTCTCAGTTTTTTTTCTTCTTAAGAAGGGTTAATAGAAAAGTTAATTTATGCCCAAAATGCAAACCTAGATTAGGTCTAGTCCATGGGTTGCAGCTTGTAGAGGTAAGGAGATTTTTTTTCTTCAGTAAACTGGGAACACTATTCGTCATAATATAAGATGGATGAATACTTGAAAAGAAATAATTTTTCTTAAATTAAATTATGACTCTTGGTATACTGATTCGTGTACCGGTAGACTGATAAATCTCTCTAAGCTAAATCCTTTGTATTTTGCCGCATATGTTCACATTCTTTTTTTATTTGATGACTCGAATTTATGTATTCAATTATGCTGCTGATACCAGAAAAAAAAATCTAAACCCTAGCCCCCTAGCCTTACGCAACAAACTCGGATCTTTGAGCAGTGGTTGTTGTTCAGAGTTAAGGTGGGAACTTTTGTTTTTCATTTGGGTTATGCGCATGACAAAGACTATGAGAAGGACGCTTGGCGTTTGTTGGAGGTGACTCACAGTAGTGCTTTTACATTGACGGTTTCAAGATCATCAAATGGTGTGCGGTCTTTTCTTCATAATGGCTATTTTTTATTTTTTTGTGGTTCTACGATTTCCACGGTTCAGTCCTCGCGAGTGTTACGAGGTTAGATGTGAATCCCCCATTGTTGAGGAATTGTATTGTATTGTTGGTGCTTTTGTAATTGTGATATTGTGGTGTTCATATTGGCACGTGTAGGCCTCTTTGGTTGCGTTTGACGTGCATATCCTATATACATTCATGATTGTTTCTTAATAAATATTTAAGTTGTGCGCACATCTTGTTACTTTTGTTTGTTGGTTACGTAATTTTGTCTAGAGCTGTGTGACGCAGCGGATGTATGACACAGAAAATCAAAGAAAGTTCCGACGCTAGAATCTACTAGCAAATAAGCTCCCGGAATCCGTGAGGAAATAAAAAAAAAAATTCTAAAAGTCTAATTGATAATAATATAATTGATTACAAACCTAAGGCCCAGATGAACTATTTATAATGTAACCTAACTCTACAAAACCATATGAATGCAAATGGGAGAGAAAGCAAACAAATAATTAAAAAAAAAATGTAAGATCCTAAAATATTAAAATTTCATTTTGGGATGGTAAATGCTGGAATTCAGCCAAATTCTTATTGAGATTGTTGTTTAACAACAAATCTTGTATATCTCATTGTTTTAATAGAGTCCATTTATCACAGTCTAAAGCTGACACACAAACAAAAGTTGCATTAATATGAACAGCCTGAAAATTTCAAAACATTCACTTTCAGAAACAAATAATCTATTAACCCTTAAATTTGTAAGTCTTCTAACTACTTTTCTTCATTCATTGCGACTTTATTCTTTTAATTTTATAACAAAAATAACTCAATTTTTGTCCTACTCCGTTGCCGGCCTTCAACACAAACATGTCACCCCTCCTCTTCTCTCCTTCTTTAGATCATGGCTTTTTTTTTTTTTTTTTTTTTTTTTCCTTCAGTAAACCATCATCACATGGTTTTCCTAAGAAAAAAAGGTTCCGACTTTTTTGCTATTCCTTTTACCATTACATAAAGTGTGGCCTTTTCGTTCATTATATTTTTGTTTCAATTCGTTTTCTCCTACGAACTAATTATGCACAGTTTCAACGACAAAAATAAAACACCATGCACATATTTTGTAGAAACAATTAACTACTGTGTGAGAATTGATGTTTTTCTTTTTTAACAAACTATAGATAATTGTTTCTACACAAAATATTGATTACTATTTGTGGAGCCTAAAATATTCACAAAAATTTTAAGGCGACACGTGGACTTTTATTCAAGAAATACAAGATTGCCCTCAATAAATGGGCGTGCTTCTTAGATGCTTCCACGCGCAGCTCACATCCCTGGAGGAATCAGTAGCTGAACACAACTGCCTATAGCTCACATGTCCTTGGCAAGGAATTAAAGATAAAGATTAATTACCCAAATCCTATCTTTAATACATTCCAATTGAAGATTGACTAAGTAAGTAATCCTAATTTAAATCAATTAGGGATAATTACTCCATTATCTCAAGATATTATTTTCTCTTAAATATATTAGGAATATTTAGAGAATATCTCTCCATTAGACACTATATGGTCGTCCCTATCCCTATAAATACCCCATAGTCTACCAAATTTTCAGAGCTTTGACAACCCTAAAAATGCCCTAAACACTTTACTCTCTCAGAGAAGCTAACTTAGGCATCGGAGATCCGTTGACCTAACCCCTCCCCCCACCCAACCTCGTGTGTGCATGAGGCTTAGGTCTCTGATCAAAGATAATAGGTCTTGCTTTAAATTAGGAACATGTAAGACATTTCTAAGAGCAAAATCATGATGAGTAGTACAAAGAGTAGAGGAACCAGAATGAAGAATGGGCAAACATTTGCCATCACCAATGTAGACTTGCTCGGGTCCTGTGTAGGGTTCTAAACTTTGCAAGTTTGCAGTCGAATTTGTCATATGGGAGTTGGCACCAAAGTCAAGAAGCCAAGTTGGAGTAGGAGATGATTGACTAGTGTTAGCACACATTGCAGATTGAGAAGATCTTGAGCCAAATTGAGGATTCAGGCGATGAGGACATTCAGCAGCCTCATGATTATTTTGACAACAGATTTGGCAGGTAAGTCAGCGACCAAAAAATTGAGAACCAAATCGACCACCACGATTTGTATGCTAATAATTGTTGTGAAAGGAATTCTGACACTGGTTATTAGGCCCGGAGTTGGAGTAATTTTGACGCTGATTGGTGAATCGAGAATTGCGATCTTGACCACAACCGTGAGGTTGATTGAAATTGGTGAAATTCTAAGCAGCAAACGTCTGAGAATTAGAGTTTTGAGGCAGGAGAAGAAAAATGGCAGCAGATGATCCAAGATCAGAGTGAAAAGCCTGAAAAGAACCTAAGGCAGTTGAGGTCTTGCAATTTGCAAGTTGAATTTTTTTTGCTCAGTAGTAAACCATGTAGTTCATCAATGGTTGTCGATCCAAGACAGAAGTGGATTGCATCAACAAAAGATTCATACTCTGATGGAAGGCCATGAAATGTAACAGATATGAGCTTAGAGTCGGCAATAGGAGCTCTAGCGCTTGCAAGCTCATCAGCGATCTCCTCAATCTGTTGAAGATATGTAGCTGCAGTGGATGTGCCTTTCGTAATTGTGCGAAGTCTTGAACGGAATTCTTGGATGTGAGACTGCGAGGCGAATTTAGGTGGAGTGGCCGTAGATCCATCAATGATGCTAGTGAGGTTGTAACGACAAAAGATCGGAGCAAATAATGCACTCCATGTGAGGTAATTGGTTGTGGTGAGCATGATTGGCACCATGGAACCGATGTTATTGATCGTAATCGATGCAACGAATTTGGACTTGGAGGCTGATGAATTTGAGAATCTGAATCAAAGGAAGGAGAAATAGCGGTCGCCATGGTTGCGATTTAGGGTTTTAGTGAGAGAAAAGGGGAATCAAAAGAAGAAGAAGAAAACGGATTGGTTGTTAGACAGTGGCGAGAGATACCATGATACGAAAATTTTCTTCTCATTGATTACCAAATAAGATTACAGAGTTTAGTATTTATACAATATATCATCACACAGATGATTGACAGCTCACCAACTATAACAAACAACAAATCCTAACTGTCCAAATAACAAACTTTAACAAACTATAGAAATATTTACAAACTAATACTTCTAAATCTTATCTTTTACACTATGATCCTTAATAAAGTACACAAATAAAATTAAAAGCTAAATTAAACAAACTAAAAAAGAATTGGGGATTTGAATGAATTTACTTAACTAGAATTGAAACCAAAATTAACAATTAAACAAAGCTGCAACAAACAATTAAACTTTAGGTGATTGATGGATGAAAGGCTTGCTAAATGATTCTTCTCTGCACAGGATACATATGCATACAAATTGATTTTTAGTTATTTTTCTATAAATTGTGAATGACAATGCCCCAATTAACCGTGAATAACACTAATTAACTCCCAGTTTTTCCTAAGCTCATTGAATTGGACAAAGCGTCGCACAACTCAAATAATTCCTCTCAAGTTTTCTAACTATGAACAACATGATAGAAATACATATCAAAGGTCACTAAGTTCTGTGAAAATCATAAGCATTGACAAAGCAATTGTAACTATGAATAACATGATTCTCTTGCAAAGATTTAACTTAACTTAATCAACGTTCATTGATTTTTACTACTTGTTAATACAAGTTCATAACGATTAGGTGAAATTCACTTATATTGTAGCTCCAAATCTCTACATGCAAACTAAGTATGCATCCTTAATAAACATACAGGAATAAGTTCTATATAAACAGGATAAGTAAATCACATTTACGTTTTATGAAATAATAATTGAATGTAATCAATTCATATAAAACATATGTTCATGGCTACGAATTCACCTCTAACTAAAAAGAACTTAGTTACACATGTTCATCATAATTGAAAAGAAAGCTATAATAAACATTGAAACTAATGAAGAAAAGAAAGAACTTTGGACTTTTGCGTGTTCAATGGATGATTTGAATGACTTATGGATGAATTGTTATGACCAAAAGTTGTAGGAATTATGATGAAATGTTTAAGTTATTGAAGGACTGCACGAAAACAGTTGGAGAATGTTTCAAAATGATTAGGACTCTTCTTTGTAGCTAGAGATAATATAAGATAATAATTGCCTTATATCTAGGTAGTGTTTCACTCCAACTAGAACTCTTCCTCCTCATGCAATTCCTTGTCTTTCAAGTCTCAACTTCAAATCCTCCAGATTTTGGCGCATGTTTAACACCATTTAAACTCCAAAAACGTCTAACCCTTGTGTAGTCCACACATGTTATCCAATCTAAGTCCAAAATTGCTGCTATTTGCTCTATTTAACTTCCAATTGTCAACTTTATCAAATGGACCTATAATAAAATGACAATAACATAAAACACTACAAAAAATGAAAATTAACTAAATAGATGCAAATAAATAAGATAACAAAATTGCACAAATATATTGCTATAGAAAACAATTACTTTTTGTAGTGAATAGTAACTGCCATTGTATTGCCCTTGCCCAACGGGCAGGGTGTTTTGGTGTTTTGATTTTTCTATTTCTTTGTATAAGTTTACATTTTTCTTATGTAACTAATTTCATGGGTAAATTTGTTTTTAAAAATAGTTTCTTATGTGCAAGTGAATTAAAATTTAATGCGTGTTAGTAAAATTTTACAAATATGAAGGGGTCTTGTGAAAATATGATAAAGATTTAGTGTAATTGACTCATCTCTCTCTCCGTTTCTGTATCCACCGCCACCAGCCTCCACAAATGGAGCTTTGGCAGCGATGAGGACGCACGCACAGCGGCGCCGGAATTGGAAGCGGGTTTGAGCGAATTGGGTAACTAGCACATATTCTATCTTTTCCTGATTAAGTGTGAGCAGACAAAGTGGCAAAGTTGTTGTGACTTTGAACCATCCCAGCACCATCTGTCGCCTTAAAGCTAGCTTTCCAGGTGTTTAATCATCCTCATTTCCTTCAATTTATTGGATTATTATGTTTGTTCTACATCTTTTCGGAAATTAATTTTAATGGTTAATCATGCTTTAATTTCTGTAAGACGTCTTTCTGTTTTTTCTGTTGGTAATTGGTTTAGCTATGACTAGTTAGTTTTGAGTAGTTGTGGATGTTCGTACATTGTTTTTGACTGAAACATTTAAGGAATAAAGTTAGTAATTTGTTCCGTCATCCAACCTGTTGTCGTTATCAGTATTGAAAGGTTTCTTGTTCTTTCATTGTTAACACAAGAATGCAGTTAGCCAAGTGAGATTAGGTTCTGAGTCTTCTGACCCGGGGTTTACGGTTTACGTTTTATATTTCCCCCCATGGATGACTCAGGCCCCAAACCTAGTTTCTTCTCCAGCCCCAGTCCAGTTTTGGATCGATTCTTCATCTTCAGTGTTCACGATTACGTTTGTTCAGCCTTAACAAACAATTGCACAATCCCACATATATGTTCGAACATACACTGATTATAGTTGGAAAGATTACAAATGTAACTGGATTGTCTTAACAAACCCAGGTTGCTGTATATTTACTATGTTTTCAATTTAATTGTTTAATCAAAGCTCCACATGTCAGTAATGTACAAGACAATGATTTTAACGTGTAAAACTCAAATCTCCACCAGTCAGGATGCAACCGACTAGACTTGGACTCTCTAATCGACTTGGTTCTTCCCCAAATCTTATGCCAGCACGATTGTTGTCTACATGATTAGTATATGCCTCACGTCCATTCTGAGTAAACTCTAATGTACTCTTGCCAGTCTTGAGTCTTGGCTATCACGACTCACGAATCACTTACTTGTCTGTCAAACATATCTGGTTGTGATCGTTTTTCTTGCTAATTTTTTCCCCTGTATGTCAGCTTCAAAATTTAGAGCAAAAACTCATGCTAGTCACCTTAAACAGTCACCCTTTGAAGAAATATGTTAAAAAAGTCATGCAATCTAAACAACCTAACAAGGAAATGCTTGTTAACCATTTACCCTTCCTGTGTGAGAGTTGGAATTTCCAAATTTGTCTCCAAATACCTGCAACAATTTTGACGTTTTTTTTTCGTTTGCCAGGTGGTATAACAACCATGATGCACTACTTCATAGTGATTCTTTCGAGTCTTAAGACTTGATGTAGACAGCACTAAAATTACAATACATGGCATGTTTTGGGTACTTAACACTCTCTGTTATTGGACACGTATTTTTCCTTAAATTCTCAACCTCACTTCGACCAAAAAAGGCCTAATCCAGAGTCCCAGAGTGTTTAAATCTGGTATATTTTAATATGGGATAGAGAATGTTCTTGTGTTTAGGCTGCGTGACAACTTTGTTGAGAAGTTTATTTCAAGATACATTCTGTCATAACTAATTGTGAATGAAAAACTAATGCACTTATACAGGGTTCAAATAAAATGGACTTATATGTTTTAATTATTACTTCGTATTTTGGGGAAAGCCTCGTTGTAGAATATGGTGTTTCTTTTTCTCTTAATAAAATGAAAGTTTTACTAGGATGGTTGTAAACCTACAAGTACAAATGTGAATGAGGAGAAAATAGAGTGATTCCTGCATTTAGGATTTGAATCTTATATTATGAATCTGTATGGGGGTATCTTTCTTTATTGCCTAAGCTTGTGCTGTGCCATGAATTTTTGCACCAGTTGCTCCATTCCCTACGGCCTGCATTCGACTTCTCAGATTTATTGCTATATTGTGGTAGTCTTTCTGTAATCAATCTTTATCTTATTTATCTCACACTTTTTGTTTGCTACTGGCAGCATTTTCCTACACAAAATGGTTTTGTAGATTAATGGGCTTGTCTTAGAACTCCTAAAGTAGAATGATATGCACTCAAAATTTGTTTCATACAACGTCAAAGATAGTAGCCCTTGCAAGATCTGGCCAAATAACATGTGCTCGCAAAATTTTCAACGAAATGCCTTTCAGAGACTCTATTGCTTGGAATGCAATGCTTACTAGCTATACGCAACTGGATTTTCATAACGAATCTCTCTTGCTTTTCCGGTGCATGAGAATCTCTGACACTAGGCCAGATCACTTTACCCTCACTGCAACTTTAAGTGCGTGTGCTGGTGCATATGAGCTTCAGTGTGGAACCCAAATTCACACGCTAGTTACTGTTTTGGGTTACCGGTCTTACTTGCCGGTTAATAATGCGCTTATTGATATGTATGGGAAGTGTTCGAATCCCTTGAGTGCTAGGAAAGTTTTTGAAGAAATGAAACATAGGAATGAGGTGTCTTGGTGTTCGTTTTTATTTGCACAGACAAACTCTGCTCAGTTCGATGTTGCCCATGAAGTGTTTTCTATGATGCCAAAAAGGGTTGAGATAGCTTGGAATATTATGATTGCCGGTTATGCACGAAATGGAGAAGTGGAGTCTTGTTTGACTTTGTTGAAAGAGATGACAGAGAGTATGCGTCAGCCAGATCAATGGACTTTCAGTGCTCTCATGAATGCTTGTGCTGAAGCGTTAGAATTTTGGTGTGGTTGCATGGTACATGCTCTTGTCATTAAAAGTGGTTGGAGCTCTGCTGCAGAGGTCAAGAACTCGGTTTTAAGTTTTTATGCTGAAGTAGGCTGCCATGAAAATGCAATAAAGATTTTTGAATCCATTGGAACTCTAACACAAGTGTCCTGGAATGCCATGATTGATACCTACATGAAACTGGGGAATACTCACGAAGCACTTCTTGTATTTCAGCGGGCTCCTGAAAAGAATGTTGTTTCCTGGACATCTATGATCGCTGGATTTGCAAAAAATGGACCTGGAGAAGAAGCTGGTAGCTTCTTTGTGGATATGGTGAGAAGTGGAGTGCAACCAGATGACTTCACATTTGGAGCTGTCCTTCATGCATGTTCAAGCTTGGCAGTACTTGGACATGGTAAGATGGTCCATGGTTGCATACTTCGATATGGCTTCCATGCTTATGTCTTTATTGGGAATGGCTTAGTTAACATGTATGCTAAATGTGGGGATTTAGAAGGGTCAGTCCGTATATTCCGTAATATTCCTGACAAGGATCTAGTATCTTGGAATGCTATGTTATTTGCATTTGGATTGCATGGGCAAGCTATCCAAGCTGTACAGGTTTTTGAAGAGATGGTGGAAAACGGAGTAAAACCGGATAATGTGACCTTCATTGGCCTGCTGATGAGTTGCAGCCATGCTGGGCTTATAGAGGAAAGTCATGTGCTTTTTGAAACAATGAGATCAGTTTATGGCCTTTCCCCCGAAATGGATCATGTGACATGCATGGTGGATATGCTTGGCAGAGGTGGTTACTTAGCGGAAGCAAAGGAACTGGTTGATAAGTACTCGGAAGTAGGTGGTGGTGAGACGAGCTCATGGGAAGCTCTGCTCGGGGCATGTTCTGCGCAGGGGGACATAGGATTTGGAAAAAGTTTGGGCGAAAGTCTGAAGATACTAGAGCCGCATAAAGAGGCGAGTTATGTGTCACTATCAAATTTGTATTGTGCGAGCGGGCAATGGAAGGAAGCAGAAATGGTTAGGAAGATGATGGTTAATCAAGGGGTGAAGAAAATGCCCGGTTGTAGTTGGATACAAGTGAGAAACAAGGTAAAGGCTTTTGTAGCCGGGAAGCATTCGTATTCGTGTATGAACGATGAGTTATGTAATGTATTAAGTTTGATTGATTTTGAAATGAGGAATCCATGCTGCTGTGTTGGTGTTCAAATTTGAAACAAATATGAGTTTTACTCCAAATTCAGAATTTGTAAATGTAACTGATTCCCTACACTATTAGATTTGAGGTCTCCCATTGCGCTTGTGGCCCAATGAGCTTACCTTCCTTCAGGATTTGGGCTCACCACTCTGCCTTTAGCATCACGTGTCATGCACGAGAGTTTTGCTGTTAATGTTGGGTTCCATCTAGTGCCAAGTTTTAACATGTATAATTTGAAGTTTAAGTGGTGATTAGTGCTAACATGATTACTTAATGAATTAAATCAAATCCTCTTTGAGTTCTTGGAGGACAATGTGGTTATAGGTAATGCTAGAGAGACTAAATTTGTAAACAAAATTTTAGAAACTAAAGGACATGGAAGTTGATGATTGGTTTATTACTCAGGCGTTGATAAACGTGCTCATTCTTATTGGTAACACATCATTTAGTTTGCAAATTTAGTCTCCCTAGCATTACTTGTGGTTATTCATCAAAAGGCTCCACATGACATGGGCGACACGTAACCGTGTGTCATGATTATTCAAGTCAATGTAAGATTACATTGGAGAACACATCTGGTTGGAATTACAATTTAATTAGATCATTTTCTAACGCAATAATCTTAACCGCATTATTAAAAGTTTATGTCAAATCCGTAACATGATTTCCCTAGTTTATGGGACTTAACTGAGGCATATAAGAATTCATGTGGTACACTCACATGCCTCTATGAACAAATCAAGGACTCCAACAAGGAAAGAGTGGTCGTGTTGTATCATCAAATAGTCAATGTCATATCCAAAAGGCAACGTCGGTATCTCATGTCAAAAGATTATTAGCAGTATTGCAATTCTTAAAGTTTATTGCTTGACATGTATTTACAATTTCGCACAGAACTCTAGATTGATCGTTCTCAATTGAACAAACATAGAAGCATGCCGTTGCCGACCTTTGAAATTATAAGGCCCATTTGATAATCTTACACAAGTCATTTTAGCGACTCAACACTGTCTCCCTCCTATAGGGCCGGCTTCACGTAGAAGGATGGGCCTTTGGGCCTTTTGTCATTTTAGTTATCTTATGTATTTAAATGAAGCCCAATGCGTTTTGGCCCAATGGGCCCGGATAACCCAAACCGTATTGTAAGGCCTAAAAGTAACATCTAATCGTTAACATGATTAATTAAGACTTTCTAATTAATTTCACCTCTATTTAAATCATCTAATTTATTATTTTCATCTTATGTACTTATCTCAATATACTAGCGTATCAATGTGCGATCCATTATGTTCCAATTAGCGAGGAGTGGGTGATGAGTAATTAAGGCTTTTGTGGTGCACGAGCAATTAGCCTGTACCATTTGTAATTTAAGTTCGCTTATTCTCATCTTTTTGTAATATTATCCCTATATATCTTAAGCTTAATCAGATTTCCCTATAACCATAACCGATCTTGTCTACTAGAACCGATCCTATATATTAAAGTATAACTTTTTTAATAAAGAAGTTTTTTTGATTAAAAAAAAAATTCATCATTATATGATTTTATTTATATTAGAATTAATTGAGTAGAATCTATACTTAATATATTAATCTTCCACTTTTCTCTAGCAATTAAAACCTAACTCGTGTATTGCCTTCTTCCACAAACACAAGTGTGTAAAAGTCAAAATTTTGGTGAAATAAATGATCACCGACACATTAGATTTTGAGATGTCAGAGCTTACTTGCCATGAACCATGTGTTTCACAAATTGTACATATGAAGTGTGACTCATCAAACCCAAACGAGTCACTAAGGACGTCACGCGACAGCATTTGGCAGAAAATAGTTAATGAATCATCTTTATTAATTCTTTAATTAATTTTAATTTAAATCAAACATATTAATTTATTTGAATTAATTGATGAAGTCAAATCACGGTTCTTTTGTTAATGAATCAAGTCCACAATCAAGAACTAATCTCGTTGTCAGCAAGACGTGGAGAACTTATAAATTCGAGGCTCCAAAACAAAGAAGGTTAGAGATTCTTCCACACACTCAGATGCTAAAGCTCTCAAGCCCCAAACACTCTCAAACACCCAAAAGACTCATAAAGCTCTTTGTGTTCTTCGTCACACTCGTGAAGAATCATCAAGCGCCACTACACGTGCCAATTCTTCCTTCGCCACAAGCCAAAATTTTAATTTTAATTTTTAAATAAGGATGGTTATTTTATTAAATTCGCACATGGCTCCCAAAATGTTAGGAACGTCCCTCATGTTTATGCATCTTATTTGATCCATGTTGAGGGAAAAGGATTCTCTCCGGATCTCTTCCACCTAATCCTCCTCATCAAACAATCCGGGCCCTTGAAATTTGATCCAACGGCTAAAAACAGGGGCCCACTTTAAAAGTTATAATAATTTTAGCCGTTGGATTAAATTTCAAGAATCTGGATTGTTGGATTAAATTTCAAGAGTCCAGATTGTTTGATGAAGAGGATTAGGTGGAAGGGATCCGGAGAGGATTACTTTTCAATGTTGAGGACAAGAAAGGCCCACCAACTAGGAATAAGACCACCGCGTCCCACGTGATTTTGGTACACAACATTGTTCATCTCCTTGTCTGAAAATGATCTCAGTCCCACCAGTGTTTCCGTTTATCCCTTCATTATTTAATGCATGGTTTCTTCCAGAACCCTGTCATCTGCATGCGTTCTGTATATCAGACAGATATGTCTGTGTAATTGTTTTCTTTCAATTTCTCTTTCCTTAAGCTATAAAATTGGAAATAAAAAATGAATATATCTTCGATTAAAGTTCGTTAGATTCGATTCAATATGAGTCGATTATTATGATTTGATAAGTTTGATTTGGATTTCCAGCCCTACTAATCTGACTAAAAATGCATAGGCGGACCCTTATGCATACACATGCATGGGACACTCTAGCACCTGCTCCAGGGGTGTGTGTGTGTGTGTTTTTTTGTGTGTAAATAATGCAAGCTGCTCTTCAACCTAATTTCTGTCCATTTCTGATCAGTGGTTGCAATATTTCCTTTTATTTTGATACTTGGTAGAAATTGTCAACTTCACAAACTCTTCCATGGTTATTATGCTGGAAAAGAATACGTACGTGCCCTACACATCTTGTTTGGAAAATTAAGACGTTCCTCGGTCTCTATTTCTCAAAACAATGCAACATCTAAACCCTAACGAAGAAAATGAAGCTATAGAAGGTATTTCTGAATGATTTACTCATAACACAAAGGCGTATATTTATACAATGTATATGCTTGGTGTACAAGTAAGAATCTCATCCTATCAAAAAGTACAATGAGAATCAGATTACAATATTAATTCCTAATCCTTAAAGATATAGTTGACTTTGACAAGACTCCAACATCACCCCGCAAATTGGACGGTCGAGAGGAGATAACTTTGGATCGAAGCAGAAGAAACTGCGGTTTAGAAAGACCTTTGGTCATTAGATCCATAGGTTGATCCAAGGGTGGAATGAATTGTACTTTATGTATGCCAAGCTTAATACGTTTGTGAACAAAATGATAATCCAACTTTATATGCTTTGTGCAAGTATGAAAAACCAGATTAGCTGCCATGTAGGTAGTACTGAGACTATCACAAAAAAGATAAGTGGGCGTAGAAAGCACACGCTAAAGTTCACGATGTAAGTAGGATACTGAATTTGGTATTAGTCGGAATATCCCGTAATTAAAAATTAAAGTATGCTAGATTGACTAGTCAAAGTCACCAGTCAACTAAGTTCAAATTTGTTAGTTAATCAAACACAAATTAACCAATCAAACTTAGCTTTTGTAAGTTGTCCTAGTAAAAAATAGTCTAGTACACATATTCATAGCTAAAATAAGCGATGTGAACTAGACACATGAACTAGTCAACAAGAACAAATTCATCATAACTAGACCAGGAAATAAACTTAGTAGACTAGTACGTTAGCCTAGTCAACAACAACACAGTTATATCTCACAATGCAGCAGCACATAGTTAAGCACCTTCACATATCAGTTTATCAACTAACTAGTTCATACAACATACCATGAACATATATGGATATGTAAGTAAGTTTAAGCATGAAGAAACACAAAAAGTTTTGATCTAAAAAGCCCACATCTGGCTTAGAAAACTAGGGACTCCACGAAGTCCAATCCACAATGCAAATAAGATTCATACAAAGTACCACATTAGGCTTAATTTCTAGATCTAATCTATAGAGCAACTTTACTTTGCACGAGATGGAGATGTCTTCAATCTTCACTAGGAAGCAGCTCCAACCTTGAACTCTTCTTCTTGTGGCACCAAGACCAATACACTCAATACAAATTATATGATGATGATAATGTGAAATCTAGATTCAAAAGACCAATCAGTTTCTTCAGTCAAATGGTTGAAGGAAGAAACCAACATGAATCCGAAAACTAGGTCTAAATGAAGATTTGAAACTTAAAGCTAGACCATGAAAACAATGCAAACCTATTTCTCAATGATTGAGAGTTTAAGGCATGAAAAAGGATTTGACAGTTAGGGTTCCATAAATAAGGAAAAGGCAAGCTCAAGAGCTTTGAATGCACTTTATCTCTCTAAAATTTAATCTGGACAACCAAAGAACAAATCAGCCCTAAGAATTGTTCTTAAGCAAAAAGATTGTATGTTTTCAGCTAGCAAGTATAAGAAACATTTGTCAACCCAGAAAACGATTTGAGCAAATCAAGGGCTAAAAGCAGTCCTTGAGCAAAAATGTGTCAGTCAACCCATATGGACTGTCTTAATTTATGTGCCCAGTTAGCTGGAAGGCAGCTAGAATTTTTGATCATACAACATCACTAATCAAAAGGTAGTAGAAATTTTAAACATGAAATGAATATGCATGAACAAACCTTTGAAGTGATGGCCCAAACCCTTGAGTACATATTCCAACAATAGCAACCCTTTGTGCATAGTATGTCCTAAACCAATTTGAGCATATGGTGCATATTACATTATCGACAAAGAAAGCCAACACACATAAGTCTAGACTTCACAAAGACCCGAAGAGATTCAGCATAGGTGGGAGCAAGAGCATGATACTTAGACTCTGCACTAGAGCACAAGACGGTAGGCTGCTTTGTAGAGC